TCCTCCTCCTCCTCTTTTCTCCTCCTCCTCCTCTTCTTCTTCTTGCTCTTTTCTCCACCTACTCCTCTTTTCTCCTCCTCCTCCTCCTCCTCCTCCTCCTCCTCTTCTTCTTGCTCTTCTCTCCACGTCCTCCTCTTTTCTCCTCCTCCTCCTCCTCCTCCTCCTCCTTTCGTTGTGAAAGGTTGGAACTTGAAAGGGAACCATCAACCCATGAATCCCCCCTCCCCCTCCCCCTCCCCCCCCCAAAAAAAAATTGAAGTTTCAAAGTTTCTCAGCGGAAAATGACAGATCTCAATGAGCGCAGTCCAATCCCGCTTTCAAAAAAAGAAAAAAAAGAAAAAAGGTTTTAAACTTTTTTTGCTTAATCCGGTTTTCCGGATGCCCCCCCCCCCCCCCCCTGATCTGGATCCGGGTGGACCGGGGTGAGTCAACCGGCCGGTTCCCGGACCAGCCCTGGTGTATACTCTATTCCTCCAAGACAAGGAAACTCCTTGGTAAGAGATGGGACAGCTTTTCGGAACTGCTTCGGTTGTCTTAGGTGACAATGGACGGCCAGTTTTGTGTTTCTGACCTTTTCTTGTGAGTTTCAGAGGGATCTCCTCACCCTCTTGCCATGGCTGGGGCCCGAAATACCCAGTTGGATGTTCGGGTCCGGAGCTGCCCTGTTCTGATTGTAGCTGAATGGCTATGACGTTCGACAAACTTTCTAGCCAGTGTGGCTCCTCACAAATAGAATTGGAGGTATTCGGAGCATTGTAGATTCAAAAAGAAAAAGGAAAGAAACAGACTACACAGAATCATGGTTACCATCTGGACGTCCAGAAGGCCTTCCAGACCGTCTGGATGTCTGGGTCCGGATGTTAAAACATATATTTTTTTCTTTTCTTTTCTTTTTTTAACAAAAAGTTGCAAAAACAGTAAAAACTGGCATTTTCATTAATGATTTGAAATTTGAGGCTGGGGAACTCACAATTCCACCCGGAGTTATCCTGGAAGCATTAGCCATTTCACTTTATATCTTGACCCTGAGAAAGTTAACGCACAATAGAACATCGAGCCTTTGGCTAAATTGACACTCCCTCTGCTTCTATGTGCCTCCGTCTCCTCTCAGCTGATCGAGCTGTCGGCTATCCCTGAGGCTCTAGAGTAAGTGAGGCCGTTTCTCCAGTTTCTAGTATAGTTGACTAATCCCTTGAGGCTTCAAGCAGTGTGTCTGTTTCTCCTTTCTCAAGTCTTTGTTGGCAAAACCCTTAAACTCGATTGATTCGGACAACTCCGACTTCTCAAAAAAAAACAACTGGAACAGGATATGTTATTCAGCATTGCAGTACGAACAACTTCGGGGGAATTAACAGCGATTGTTTTTGGGGGGGGGTGTTGGGGGCAGGGGGCACTCCTTGTCCTCATCAATCCGGACATCCGGGTGCTGTACACACTGTCAGAATCCAGCCTGTCGGGGTAACCATGATCAATCTGGACAATACTCATAATAATAGTGACAAGTTTCATGACTGAATGGTACACACATTTAGCTGGCAACAAACAGGTCAGGAGTTCAAATCCAGATCGATACCATAACGTTAGGGGCTAACTCCTCCGGCAAGAAAACATTGTATCCTGTGTTGCGTGCGATAGGCTTACGTGGCGAGTACACATGTACACATGTACGTACGTACATGTATGACCTCCCCCCAAAACAGGGCCTGCTGGTGGGGCAGTCCAGGTTGAGCCTGTTCGGATGTTGGGATGCTGTCTGGAGATCCGGACGGTCTGGAGCAATCAAGACCCGAGGTCCAGCCAGACTTCCCAATATGTCTGGTGCACAAGTATGGCACAACCATGGGTGAAACTTCTGAAGGGGAGGCCGCCGCTTCGCTGTGGTAACAGTCAACGCTGCGCCCGTCACGGGGACTGAACCCTTTGAGGGCTTTCACGACTTCGAGGTTCTCAGCGCCCCCACCTTTGAAGATCGTGAAGATACGAACTTTCAGGACTGAAGGGGAACTCAGTGTCCTGATATCGAAGACAGTGAAATCCTTTCCTTTTGTAGTCCACTTGACTCAGCCAAATTCCGCTTTAGCTAATGTGTTTACAGCAGTGGTTTCATTGTACATCTTTTGGGACGCTGGACCTGGTTTCCAGCACGTGCTGCTCCTGACGAATAGGTTGCATCCATTTCCTATGTTGGTCCCTTTCAGGAGGACGTTTGACCTCTCCCTCAAGGGAGATCATCAATGACGTTTCGTAACTTTTGTCATTATTTCTTGGAGAAGTAATGGTGGAACAGAAGTCTATATTTTCATATTTTGTCATTTACCATCTGCTATTCCGATCTATTCGTCCTTTTCTTTTTTTTTTCCGTTTTAACCCGAGCAGAATCGGGGGCTTTACTTATTCCTTGTTTCTTTCTAGGAGAAAGCTGAACTCATCTATTCGTGGGGGGAAGCACCTTCCGGAAACTGGGTCCAGGGACAATATAGCCCAAGCACCACCTCCTATCACCCCAAACACGAGAAAATAGGTAATGATGAGCCCATGAACCACTCCAGCTAGACGTGAAACACGTTGCTCTTGAGTTGGCAGTGTACCGTGCCTCACTACTGGACAATAATAACAAATGTTGAGCTTGTTCCACTACCAGTGGAACGCTGATAATCCGTATCATTCGACTATTACATTTTCCCATGGGACTAGAGTAACAGTTTAATATCGCACAACCTATTCAAATGGGTTTGTGACATCTCGAAATTGGATGCTTCAAGTATTACTCTTTCCCTCTGGTGCCAGTTCTATTTCAGATCCCATTTTCAGGCATGCAAAGAATCGCTGAGCAGTCCTTGCAATTGGGAGTGCTTCCCAAAAGGTCAATCATAAGCTAGCTTTTTTAATGCTAGACAGACTTGCTAAGGAAATACCTTGTTCCAACTTCCTTTGTCCTTCAGATGTTTACTAAGCTCCTGTGTGTTGCCAACCCTCTGCATCTGTGCGCTCGTGTGTGTGTGTGTGTGTGTGTGTGTGTGTGTGTGTGCTCTGTCTGTGTCTGTGTCTGTGCTGTTTGTGTGTGCGTGTTGTCGTCATGTGTGTGTTTGTCATCATGTGTGTGTGTGTGTGTGTGTGTGTGTGTGTGTGTGTGTGTGTGTGTGTGTGTGTGTGTGTGTGTGTGTGTGCGAGACTGGCGCATTCACCATCATGCAATTGTCAATTTATCAATGGATTTGTGCAGAAAAGTTCTTGAGGGGACAAGATTAACTCTCCAGAAATCGTAAGTGTGTAATGCAATTGGTCTTTGTTTTCCATCTTTTCGATTTCTCTTCTTTGTTGAGATTGCACATTTCTTGCAGTCACTGGTGAATACCAGTCAGAGACACTGTAATCATCCTTCAGAGTGAGCACGCCAGAATAACATAAAGCGGATGCTGCATGCCAAAAGTTTTGTGGTTCCCTTTATTCCATTCCATCAGTCAATGGTTAAACCACCTGTTCCCCCGACAACAGAAAAATGACACTCCTGTGAGTGAAATTTGACGAGAGGAGGGCATGGGGTTGGTTGGCCTACTGGCCCTGGGTTGGTAAGTGCCAGTGTGCAAAAGTTTGAGTGCACCGTCTTTGTCAATTTTACATGCTTGTAATTTTCCACGAAAGGATCCAAAAAACTTTACCAAAGATGTTCAGCTCTGTTTGTGGCCCAAGTTCACCATTGTTTGCAACAATCGGACGTGGGGGGCGCAATCCAATTGATCGTTCGTTCAAAACCTGCGTGGTCATTTTTGTTTTGGTGTGGGCCTTGCCTGGACGAGGAACGCTCATTCAAAATGAGCATCACATCAAGCGCCTCTTTGCTGAAGGCCCCATGACCAATCACTTGTGATGGCTAGAAATGTCACCACCTCAACCTGGCCCGCCATACAGAAACAAAGTAAATGAATCAGGCAGATCTTCCCCTTTATACTCCCTTAGATCGATTACGAAACATTCTCTCCTACTTGTGTGGGGCAGCTTTCTGGTTTATGAGCATCAGTATTTCTTCTGCTAGTCGGGTTCTATAGAAATCCTATGGTCCACATATAGTGGTCGGGGCCTTTACTAGGCGGCCATGCTGTGCCTCTAGTGCCAGCGGCGTGTCTGGAGTGTATTTTTTGGCTGTGACAGACCTTTCTTTGTTTCGTGGATGTTTTGCTGGCTTGTGATGGGGTGTGAACCGACAGTCTGTAGAG